AGGGACGGAGCCTCAATCTGGGAGGGTCGGCAAAGGATACTCCATCGAAGAAGATAGCCACGGGTTTGTTTGTGGCCTCATCACCAGTGTTTTAGCATCAATGAAAACTTGTCGCGTAGCACAGTCGCATCTAACCGTACGGCGGACGCGATGCCAGGTGTCCTGGAGCCAGCTGCAGGAATCTGAGGTTCTGCGCAGAATGGGGCCCGCTCCGACGCGGGAAAAATATCTTAATTGGAATATCCGTTGAAGTGTATCAGGCGGCCCGTCCGCCTAGATCGATCACGCGATGCAAAACGGTCGCGTACAGTACCGAACGCAGAACAGGACGACCGGAGATTCCCTGCAGAGGTTGTAGCGATAACGCTGCCGCCACATGCTCATGACGCCAATCGGGTTGTGACAGATGTCCGGGGTATTACTATTGCTGCCGCTACCGGCACTCGCTCTAGGCAGAGAGTTTGTTCCGCCGTAGACGCGCAGCGTACAAACTAGCATCGACCTCAACAACGACGACAGCGACCGAGGAGACGACGGTGGCGACGACGGCAGTGGCGGCGGCGGCGGCAAGGACTCGTCGATCGGACGATCCTCCGCTCAAGTGCTGTGGATTTCGGACCTCCGATGGACGGCGGCACATTCGTCATCATCATCATCGGGCTGACTGGCGTACTACGGAACCTCGGTTGAATGGGAGTCTCTGTGAACGGTTCGATGAAGGGCTACAATAAGAGTGGTTGCCGACACCTGTCTGGGCTCGGCTCCGTAGCGGCTCAGAAAATATTCGGACGATCAGGGTTTTTTTCCGCTCCGGGTGAGGACTGTGATTGAAGATTCCGGAAAGAATGGTGAATGCTACGATGAAAGGAAGTGATACCATTGAGCACTCCTCGATTTGGCGAATCTGTGCATGAAACAATACGAGGTTCGGATTGGCGACGTCTGCGAAATTCCGAATTCCAAACGTATGAATAGCAAAGTTCGATGGAGAAACTATATTCTCCGTCTGATGAAAATCATGTTCTTGCGTCGATTGGATTCACTTGGTCCTGTATGGACTTCTGATCGACGTTCGAAGAGGGCGACACAATCATCCAAATAATCATAAATCTCCATGCGGATCTCCGAACATATGGAGGCGATGAAGAATCGCGAGGAGCTCACTCAGCGAACTCAAGCGCTCCGGAATCCGGAGGGAAACGTTCCAGCCCATGTGCTGCCGAGGAATTTCGGCTCCACGGGACGTCTTCCCCCAGAGTTCGATTGCTGAATAGCGGTTTTCAGTCACCGCCAAGCATAGAAACCAGTCAGGAACGCGGAAGGACGCGGGATTGAAATAATCATCCATATTTTGCGGGTAGTAGTTGCGGTAATCGTGAAGTACTCGAGCTAGGAAGCTCTCGTCTTGCCTCCTTCCTCCCTTGACGCCGAGCCGGTCGTTCGCCGGGTAGTACCGACTTCGTCTTAGTCGTCTCTTGGTGGACACGCGACGAAGAGCAGGACGGATGAGACAGACAGGAAGACCACGACTACGATGATTGAGTCCGCCAGTATGTGCGACAGCTCATGAGAGAGAACGGTGGCGATCGCGCGGCGACACCTTCAATGGAGGGGTCACTCATGCGACTTGCGTGATCGTGAGTGAAATTCTCCGCAGCGGAATTATTGTGCTTTCGGTTTGCTGAAAATGGGGAGGAGAATAGCTCCGTCGTGGCTTGCGAGTTGGCGGTAACGCATGCTACCTGTCGGTCTTCTGCATTCTTCCATTTTGCTATCAATCTCGCTATCGATTCACGGATCGCGCAGAAGCACCTCATTATCGATCAATGGCGAAGAAGAACTTTCGACCTCTGGCCGCAATTGACGCTGCCGAAATTCTGATCGTCGGGCTACCGGTCCATGAATCTAACTGGCCATCGTCGATGACGGCGGCGTGAGGTACCGACAGGTGCCTGGCTCCTTCGGGTCCTTGAGCGAGCTGGCGTTACTTGAGTACTTTACTTGAGGAACGATGCATCGAGAATCGAGAATGCCTCGACGCCCCGATCACGTTTCTGAGTCCTCGCGAAGATTCGGGGACATTCGAATCGGGCACTGAGGAAATGTACTCCAGTCTGGCCGCATAGACTCGTTCCAGTCCTGGCAATTTCGTTGGCGAATCCCAGGAAGGCTGTCCTCACGACCAGAGATGATAGATGATTTCTACAGGATATCGTTGGATTCGTCGACAAGAGACATCTATCTTTGTCTTTGCGCGAACGAAACGACAGCAGTAATGATATCTTTGGCGGGTTGCGAACATCGGTAGAGCTCTTTATGAGCTTTACCTCTAGACGATTGTGTGTTTACCGGAACCCCGATCGTTGAAAGCGTTCCGGTTGATAAACGCTTACTGCCCACATCTCAAAACCGAAGCAATAATGCTTACGGAGACATGTATATCTGCGGGAAGCGCGGCGGTCGCGGTTAATGACGCTAAGTGCGAGAGTCTGACTAATACAAAGTAAGACGCATGCTCGTGGGCCAGCGGCTTATCCCGGCTCTCGAGCAGGCCTCCGTGGGCGGCAGGTCGAACAAGCCGTCATCGATGGGGCATGAACTTCGAATTCACGCTTCTGTCGCGACGAAACCTCTGAATTCATTTTCCGAAATATTGACCCAGAAACTCTTGCTGTTCTGCGATGATCGATTGACAAGGTTCTCGCTTCAGACACGGACACGCGCTTCGCTACCTGGAATAGTTTCAAGTTTTCTGAACTCTTGCTACGATTGTTCACAGCTCTTCATAGCCATTCATGTCGAGCGAGCGCCGCGAAACGCATCTTTCGCCAATATAGTCACCATGGATCTCCAAAACGCTTGGAATGCCCCTCTCCTTCTGTTGAGCTCGCTTCGCCCTTTGAGTCCCCACGCTGGTAATTGATCGCAGATAGGAGAGACTGAGGAGAGTGGAGGTAAGAATAGAGGGAACTCCCTCCGGGGGTGACGATGTTCCCCTTCAGACGTCGATTTTCGTGCAATGAGTTGAGCCTAAGGGTTACCAAGCCGGTCTCCGATGATCGAGTCCGAAGAACCGACCGGTCAGAGGTAGATCCACCCCGTCGTCGCGTCTCCTCGCATTCGCCGACACGGATGAGGCACGGAACATTTTTCGAAACGAGCAGAGTTCTTCGCTCGTTCAGGCAGTCCCTTGAACCCCAGCGGAATCACTGGAGACTGTCGATCCCGTGAAAATCCTCTACACTCAACCCGACAGAGTACGGTCGAACGGAGCTCCAGCGGTTGAGTTTTTACCCTCAGTCAGCAGCAAAGGAATCGGGCGCTTGCCCAATGGATTGGTTCGCTCATGAGTGGAACCCGGGGAGATATTGAGAGTGGACGATTCTCGCTTTCCGCGACCTTTGGAGCAGACGACGGATTCAATGAATTCATAACTTTTGCTGCGTGTTGCGCGCGAAATTCCCGCAAAAAGGGAACAGGGACTGATCGAGGCATCTCCTGACGACAGGTATCTCGAAGTGTGACGTGAAGGCTTCCGAGTCATCCGGGCTCCAGCGGTGCTGCGCTTTGCCGTTGGCCTCAGCAGTGGAAATGAGTCTCGTTCCGAGTCGTTCTGTGTTCCCAACTCAGATCCGCGGCCCGCGCTATATCTCTCAGAGAGTTCCCATGATTCATGAATCCATGAGCCCTTTTAATATTACGATGAATGATGCTCCGAGGGATAATTCTCCGCAGACTTTTGATCATTTTTGCGTTTATTTATCGTATATCAGAATCGTTTGAAAAATGATAATGATCTCTATCTGCTATGGATAATAATCTTATGTACAGCAACTGGACCAGTGAAAAAAAGCGATCGTTTTCAGCACTGACTCGTGTCAGGGAGGGAAATTACATCATCATTGGATCATCCCGATGGAATTCGCAAACGTGGACCTGAATGTCCGAACCACTCGAAGCGCACAAAATACTTCATTCTCTCTTCCATTCTCGACAGATCTTGACTCATCCCAATTGTCAAGGGCTCAGTTCGCTCTTTTTTTTCCGGCGTCAGAATGCAGTGCGTCACTCAACACCCCAGCCCACCGTCGATTATGAACTCACAAAAAATCCCTTCCGCGTCCATGATCCATATCTACTTCATATAATCGTTGTCTCGTCGAAGAATATGACCTCCCATATATTTTCGCCATGTAAATATAATGATAGTAATGTGAGTGCAAAAGCTGACTGCACTTGCTCGTCGCAACAGGTTTTTGCACATAAGGGCTTAGCCGTGTGAGAATATCCCACACGCACACATTCGCTTTTCCTTCCACATTCTCAAGAACACGGCAAACACACACACTTCTACCGACAGACACGCACCCACGCATTACTTTTCACGATTTCTGATCGTCCCAAGAACACAGCACACTCACCCACTTACCTGGACTCGTTGATGATAAATCTAGTCTTTCGTATGTATAATCGGTTCTGTATTTACCACATATATTTCTCCTTGGGAGAACGAAATCCCTCCACAATAGATATCTATGTATTGATTTGATCTAAAACCCCGCTCGTTCGGATATAGCGTTCGTCGTGCGTCATGAACACCTCAGTGGGCTCGGTCCCCATCCAGCGGTCTTCGTCCACGGATCGGACTACCCGTCGAATTCCTCTCGGGCCGCTACGATCAACCAACTCGGATCGATCCCTTTGGCCACACTTCAGTCATCAATAACTCAATCAATCAATGAATCAACCAACCAATGAATCAACCAATCAATGAATCAATCTATCAACCAATCACTCAATGAAGAGATCGACCCGTCAAAGAATCGAGGCCGGCACACTCTCAGAATACGGCGTATTCATTCGTTCGGAGGATCCGTCGAGGAAACTCACAATGTTCGACTCGGAGATGACGATGACGGAAATCCAGCGGCGATCGAGTTGTAATTTACCTAGGAGCGATTCGATCGACCGTAGGGTGACATATCTGGAATTCGCCATCTCGTCGCCGATTGGATTCGACAGCGACTTCCAGGGAGGTGTTCCGGCCGGTTATTGTAGAGAAGGATGCGGGATGAGGCGGGCGGAGATGGGATGAGTTGGTGTATTATATTCCAAGTGAGTTCGCGGCGAATTTGATTTAATCGAGATCAACATCAGTGACTGAGGAATCGCTTGAGCTAGAGCTTGGGGGACTATTGGCTTCGCCAATGTGGTCTTCGTCGGTCTCCTTGGTTTTTGGTAAGAGTCCCAACGCTCGTTCTTTGCGCGCTTTCTCCCGAGCTTCTTTTTCTCTGGTTTTCGTTTCGTCTTCAGAATCGCTCGACGACTCGATTTCTTGCTGAACCTGCAAACAGCGACATCGAAAAAAAAATATGTTAGTTCCTAATCTTCAGATTCCAAACAATACGCTTCTCAGACTAGAGTAGGGCTTCTATTTAGGTACCGCCCCCCTCAGATCATCGAGCATAAACCGATCTCGGTACACGGAGGATTTAGCGCTATATCGAGATCCGGATGCGCCGGGCCTGCTCCGTGGTACTCGCGGCTACCGAACTCACCAGTCCCATGCTGATCCATTGTTGTTTCACACACTTCGGTCCCGCATAGTTGACTTTGAATTGTGAACAACTCTCAGAGCTGTTCCGGAGACCAAGTTGACTGAGGAAACAAACCATTTCTGTCGACCCGCCGGATTTTTGCCCTGAAACGAGACGCGGTCATTGCAGCGCGTGCCGGACTTCCCAAATTCCCTTAGCGAAAGTGAAATCTCCCGATGAGCGATGGTAATTCTGTCACGGTCTCAATTGATCCTAAGAAACGTCTCTACCGGATAGGCTCACCTTTGGCTTGTTTAGGTACATTCGTTTTGATGGGAGTGCTGCCGACCGAGTTGGAAGACGATGTGTTGAACACTTCTGTGAAGGGCTCCCCGACAACATCTTCGAACTTGTGTTCCTCCTCTTGTTCTGCACCTCGTCGCCGTTTGACTTGGGTGTGTTTCATCGCTGCCTTTCGTTTCCCTAGTTCGATGGTGGCTCCATCGTTGATTCCGCAGGACAGCACGAGGTGCTTCACCAACGAGTTGCCGTCCTCGAACTTTTCATCACACTTTTTGCAACGGCCAATGAATTTCTCGGGATTCTGTTTGTTGTCGAGAAGCGGGATCGTCGGTATGGTTTTCGGGACCGTTGACAACCTCTGAGCGTGTTGCTTCAGCATGTGACCGGTGAAACTGCTCTGGCAGCAGGTGAAGAAATGACACTCCGTGCACCGGAGGACTCGACAGAAATGTTCCTGAGTAATCGGTTTCTGACATTCACGACAATCGTAGTCCTCGACGTCTTCAGGGAGCCTCAGCGAAGGGACTAACCAGTTGACTTTGGCGTCTGCCGAATCCTCCGGAGGTTCCTCATCTGCGGGAGAGGGAGTGAAGGCGCATGAAAAGACTTCCCTATCTGTCGAAGACCCCAGACTTCATCCAGATGAGGGAGAGGCTCGTCGGGACGGAATCAATTTTTGTAAACTGATTTTTTCCAGATGATGATGATCATATATACCAATTATATCTCGATTTTTCACATGATGATGATATATATTGAGATATATCTCGTAATGTCTATGATAATAGAATCCAGAATGACAAACTGATATCGAGCCGATGGAAAAAATGTTACCTTTCTTCTCGCTCGCCGGCGGGCTTGACGGCTTCTTTCGCGGTTTGTGGACAATTACCGGATTCTCGCTAACCCAGCCACAACTGGTCATCTTGCCCTTGCCGACAACGTTCTTGTTGTGACATTCGATCTTATGGGCACGCAAATCCTTCTGCTTGATAAAGGGCAGCGAGCACTGACTACACGTTTTCGGCGTGTTGTTCATGTGTTTGAAGAGGTGCGAATAGAACTTCGTCGTGCCCTGGACGCCAGTGACGACCTGTCTCGCCTGGCAGTAGTACATCTCGAGACAGTAGGGACACTGGAGGGCATTGCAGCCCGAGTGCTTCTCCCGGAAGTGGTCCATCACGTGTTGTTTGAACGATGATCGGTAGTGACAGATCTTACAAACAAATGGCATATCGCGAGCGGTGTGCGTCGTCTTCATGTGGTACACCAGTTGTTCTTCGTCGCTGTAGCCCAACGAGCAGATTTTACAGCAGAGGCGTTTGCCCTCGGGTGCTGCCAAGTGCACTTGCTGGACGTGAACTTGACAGTCATACGGTGTTTCGAACTCTCTGAAGCACGTACGGCAGATGCACTGCAACGAAGAATTCCAGGGATCAGGAATCATACCGACCCCGGTCACCGAATTTCCGCAATGGCAAGAAATTGATTTGGAGGAGGGATCATCCGACGTGGATGAGAATCAGAATAATTCCATGCAGCAACTCACCATGTGGGAGACGTCGGGATTGAACTCCCGATTACTCTTCAGGTGCATGCTTATATGCTTCATGATGGAGATGTTGTTTTTGGCGACTTTCTTGCAGACGGGACATCGGAAGAACATCTCGCCGTCCCTCATATATTTCTTGTGTTTTTGTACATGTCGCTCGCCATCGCGTCTTGCATAGTAGTAGTTCTCCAGAATGACGCTTTCTTCCTCTTCGTCCCGGATGACCAAGACATCGTCGTTCGAGTTTCGTCTCTCGATTAGAGGCTGTCTCACTCCCAACGGAACTTGTCCCCCCGGGGTCACAAACTGGGACGCGACCTGAGCCAGGAAAGCCATGCCTTCTTGGGATGTTGGGAGAAGTTGGGCGATCTTAAAAGGAGAAAATCAAATCAAGTTTCACTGGGCAGCTCTCCCGGATGGATCAAAGTAGATGAACTCGCAATATTTGAGGTATAGTCCTTCCTCGAACACATTCTCACCATTCTCCAAAAGCTCTCTCTCGGACCGAATCGACCGAAGGCTCTACGCCATTGAATTTCGTACAAAAATCCCTCCAAGATCGGCTTGTGAGAGCTCTCTAATCTGAAGTTGCCGAAATGATCCGACAAATGTATGAGCAAGAATTCGTCGAGAGTCGAAGTTTCGGTCAGGAGGGGGACCTTCGTGAACTTCTGCTCCTCCATGAACGTCGTCCGCATTATGGAGGACTTTGTGGCGATGACACTGTCTTTCGCGATCCAGGTACTAGCGGCCTTCGCGAGATCCACCTCTGACGTCGTGATCGCGGGGAATACCTGTCGGGAGAGGGTTTTCGTTAGGGGCTATCAGAGTGAGGTAGCCTCAACCGATATGGAGCGGTCGATACACAGGGAAGTGATTAGGAACGGACAATGATTAGGCACAGAATGATTAGAAAAGGTACGAACCTTCGCTCGGAAAGTATTGGTCTTCTTGTCGAGAGCCGCCAGAACCACGAATGGGTCTATATGGGCCGCGGTGACCTCGACGACGTCACCACTTGCACCGAGAGGTAAGATCCTCCGCAGAACATCCTTATGACACAGTTCCTGAATACTGCGCCATATACTTCTAACAATGAACGTATCGACCCCGGTCAAGGAAGCCGTCTCCTCGCACGAATGGGCCAGAACCCAAGATTTGATGACGTTGAGAAACTTGTAGAGAGGTATTTTGGCATACCAGCTGAAGAGTGTCTGCTCGGGACGCTGGATGTTCCAAGTGCGTGAGCATTTCGAGCATCGCCACACGTAGCCGTCGAGCGTGGACTCGGCCGGACTGATATCGGTCTCGACGTTACAATCGCACGCGTAGTGTCGACTCCTCGTTCCGACCGTGGGCCTTAAGAACTTATGTTTGACTAAAAAGGCACGGGATTCGTGTCGAGTTGGTGGATGGCGAACTCTTCCTCGAGCCGAGTCATGTCGTCCTCGCCCTCGTCCGGTAGATCTCCGAACGGCGCCGATTGGGTCATGACGATATTGGGTCGGAGCTGTTCGGTGCCCAAACGCTGTACCGTGACCAAGTTCCAACCTCCCCGACAGACTTTGGATGTCGCCGGTTCGAGTTTGTACTTTTCGTCGTCTTTCTTCGTCGGGTTCGTCATCAGATCGTATTCCTGATTGGTCAGAGGCCGGCTGTTGAAGGTGACCTGTAGTTTTCGTTTCTGCATTTGGTGAATTTGGTTCGTGATGGTGTTGTAATGGTGCACGGCACTCCTGAAGGCGTCGATCTGACATGGCGCCAAGGCTTCCTCCATACAGTCCATCATGAGGTCATTGTTGATTAGCGCTTTCTCTAAAAGGGGAAGAAGCGGGAAAGATCCTTCAATATCTCGGTATAACAATAATATTCACTGTTATCATACAAAAATAAATGTCGTCTCTTCACGAGGCTGAAAGCTCTCCCGGTTTGGGCTCCGGCTGTGAGAGGCCTAATTAGATGGAAAATCAAGATTTTAGTGGAAGTACTCACGTCCGCTGACATAGGTGAGTTTTTTCCTGTTTGCGGCCTTCTTCTGAGCCGCGAGACGAGTTGAGATCCCGTCACCCGAATAATCCTCGCCGTCGCTTGCCGCTAAGCTCTCCATCGTCATGTTGGATTTCGCAACGACATTCGTAATCTTGCGGGCAGCAACGCGCGCAGCATTACGAGATGGCCGACCGGCGGGTTTTTCTTCCTCTTCAGCATTCACCTCTTCGGGTTTCGAGTCGAGGTTGTCGATGCCCAATTTGCGCAACTCCTTCTGGAGTCTCCCTCTCATTTTCATGTGTTCGGAGCTGGTCTCGAAGCTTTTGCTCGGACTACTGCTGCTAGCATCCGAAACTCTATCGCGAGGAGACTGAGATGGATTGCTGTGGGCACCGTCTTCATCGTCGGTCGATGTCGATCCGCCGCCGCCACCGCTGCTGGACTTGCGAGCCTTCTGCTTGGGCGACTTGCTACTGCCCTCGATATTCTCGTCGCCTTCGACCGAGGCCTCGCTCCTCGAGGGTTCGTCCTCGAGATCGGATTGCGGCGTGGGCGTGGGTGTTTTCGTCGCGGACTTCCTCGTGGCCCTCTTGCTTGTCGATTGGTCACCATCTTTCGCTTCGGACTGCGCGGCGGTCTCCGTTCCCGACTCTGTCGATTTCTCTTCATGACCACTGTCGATGGTGTCTTCGTCATCGAGCGGGGGCGCTGAGACGGCTTTGGGAACGGGTTTCTCGCTGGCCTGTTCAGGCGATCTCGCGACGGCGTCGTTTGATTCCTCGGCGTCGTTCTGGGGCCCATCTTCGAGGTTCCCAGACTTTCCGGCGGTCTGATCGATACCCAGTCTGTTGTCGGCGTCCTCGTCGACGTCTTCGATCATCTTCTCCTCAGCGTCTTCAGCCTCTGCAGCTTCCTCAACTTCTTCAATCTTTCCGATCGGGTCGGCGCTTTCGAGCTCCGTCGGCTCAGCCGAAGCCCCGATTCGACCCGACTTCACATCATCGTCGTCTTTTTGCGCTTTTCCGGACTTGTCCCCGCTGCCGACGGACTCAGCGTCTTCATTGAGACCCGGGACCTTATCTGGCGTTTTCCCATCAAGATCGGTAGCTTCCTCGAGGGTCGTCTCTGCTCCGGTATCCATCTCCATGGGTTCATCTTCCAGGATCGGGTCCGTATTTACGCGGAGCACCGGAGGATTTACCAGGGGCTGGTCCAGAACTTTGACGGCTACGCCGCCGTCCGGATCTTCCTCCTCTGTTTCCATCGACTGGATGATGGTGACGGCCGTTCCTTCAGAAGCCTCATCAGCGGCCATGATATTTTCCGAAACACGGCGATATCACTCTGGAATCGCAAGACGAAAGATTTCTCAGTTTGAGGATTTCCCTGACCTCATGAAAATCAAAAAAGAAAATCCAGAACCAGTCTCGTCCCGAAGAAACTCGTCAGAAATGTAATCGAGAATCTCTGCGAAACCCCGGCACCTTCCCCTAGCAGCTCCCGGGATCCTGAGGTCGATAAGCCGAGCTCAGCTGACAGGGCGCCGTTTTTTCGGGAGTATCTGAATTTTCATTCGGATATCTTGGATGAAAAACCTCAGTTCATCGCCATGCCGCGTTACGCGGAGCAATGATATTTTTATCGCCCGCGATCCCGTAGAGAAACATCGGGCAATCACGATCGTGAAATACGACGCTCTCCCGTTGAACTCTGACATCGTTGCATCGACTCAACAGGACGATCAGAGAATCCCACACCAGCCCGATCGCTGATGCGGTCATTCCGGAACGTTCTCGCCGCACTGAAGAACTGCCGGGCGAGTTGAGCAGCGATACCGAATACCGTGTTTTTCTTTTCTCGAGACCTTTTTCAAGTACCTCCGATTGATGAGGCCACCACACTCTCTCGTTTCGGAAACGACAAGGATACCAGCATCATTGCCGGCCCGCGTCCGCTACGGAGTTCAGAGCTCGGGCTTCTCGCCGGGGAAGCGAGACCCGATCGCTCGGAAGCCAATTGACGACTGCGGGACTTTCGACCGCCGGATTCAGACGATTGCAGGGTATTCTCTTACTCCTAGGAAATTGTCCGCAGCGTACAGATCCATTGGTGTCAGCTAGCTGGCTAGCGCGCCGCCAAACGCTCGGTAACCAATGTCCTAACGTGGCCAAGGTCATCCGAAGCATAGACTGTAGACTATCAAGGCGGAAATTCTGTGATTTTCCCCTTTTTCTCTATGGTGGTTTCTCACTCAGCCAGAGAAGGCAGCAGTTGTGTCAGCCGGAGAAATTGTGGTAATGTCCGTCGCCGTGGAGAGAGAGAGCCTTGAGGTATCTCCGTCCAATCTCGAAACAAGAGGCCGTTTGTTCTCTCGAGCTCATCATGCCACGACGGCACTGATACAAGGACTAGCTATCGAAGTTCAACATCGAAAACGGGAATTTTCAGGGATTTCTCACAGAAGAGTCGCCTCTCGAACGTATGACCGAGCTCTCAGTTCTCGCCGAGTAGTTCGCCGTCGCATCCCATGACTCCATGGAGCCCGGTGGGAACCGGAGAATACCGCTCTTCGCTAGAAGGACATCACGAGAACGACTAATGTATCCGCTCTTTCCGCAAGGAGGAAACCCGAAAACAAAATCCCGCGCCGTGAATCGTAACCTTGCACTTATACCTGACGCCCGAACATGCGGCGATCGACTATCTATCGAAGGGGCCGAGTCCCCTTGATCTACGACTCACAGTCGAGCACTGCTGGTCGTCCGGACAGACGATCGGTGGGATCGTGGTCGTCTGAGCCAATCTGATGACCATGGCGATCCAGATATAATCCACTTAAAATAATTCATCCGAAAGAAATTTCGAGACCCAAATAGTGACTGAATCGGAATATATTCAGAGAGATACTTCAGGGAGGACCACATGGAAAATTATCTCTCGAGATCGCTTCGCACACGGGGTGGAATGGTCACTTCGTTCGCTGAAGACCAGCTCGCCTTTGTCACTCACTCTCAGTCAGTCAGACAACTACACACCCAGGGGCTCCTCATTAGATCGCATTTAGGAGCGTCGGCATTTGTAAGGGAGCAGCTTTCTCCCCCTTCCAATCGAATATCATATCCCCGAATGCCCGAACAGCGACGATCCCGCCGTGAATCCCCTGAATTCCCGATCCTCGGATCAGATTAGAGTTTAAAAGGACTTTTCAGGCCGACTCACAGTCGCAGCGACCCGAGCGCAATGATTGGTCGAGAAATTCCGTGGAATCATGGCGAAAATCATGCATGCACGTCGAAATGTTCTCGCGTGCACCTTCGGGGACGCTGCACGTTCGTCGCACGGAGTCATATGCTCGGAGTTGAAGAAGTCGAGAGCGACTTAAAGACTTCCGTTTTGATTCCGAATGTTCTACGGCTTGGTCTACGGGACTCACCAGAGCGAGCGGACGTCTTCGTCGAACTTTCGCGGCGCTACGGCCGCTTGGCGCCTTTCCGAGTGCACGGCAGCACCCCGCGTCGGCGTATGATGGTCTGGAAAGCCCTTGGAAAACTGATCACACGAATACCCCAAGCTATGTAAGGCTTGTTTATGTTCCTACGTGACGCCTAGATGAGTCCGAGCGTCCAGCCAAATTAAAGCGCTAGATGCAGAAGGTCGTCCACGAAGGCACACACATAGAGTGATGACGATGTGGATGATCTTGTCAGCCCTTCCGGGGACCGGGTCGGGCGCCCACCGTGATTAACGGCAACGAGTTCTCGTCCGATGCACCCGTCGTAGTTGAGTCGGAACTTCGTTCAGTAACAAGTAGAGCGTCCTGCTCGTACGAACTTCTCGGACCTGAATGAGAACTCCTTTGGGATTCACTCTCACGTGGGGTCGAGGTGCGAGAGGGTTGAGCGATGCGACACAACGAACACGCTCACGGAACCACCCTCATAAGGGGTGCGGGATTCTAGAGAGATTTTGAAGGGTGAAAGTATGATGGGGTCGGCGCGGACCCCCTATTTTCTTTATAGCAAAAGCGCTGTCTCCGTCTGTCCATTCGCGACTTTTCGACGCTTTTCGCTCTTATGTCCGCTTCCGAACAGGCTCATCGGATGATGGATCTAGTGAGCAAGTTGACCCTCTTTCGATTTTTCGTACCTCTTTTACGGAGTAGTTAGCGGAAGGAGGAAGCTTATTCGCGAATATCCACCTAGATAGATAGATGGGGAAAACAAGTTGTGGCCTCGGATGACGTCATCCAACTTGATCAATTCTATCTCTAAGCAGTATACCCATCCCACTGGACAATGAAACAAATAATGTCGAAGGAGAGATGCTTAGAACGAGCTTTGCTTTGTATTCCTGTCCGTGAAATTTCTATTCGGATCGTAGATCTGGCGATTACCGATAATGAATAGTCCAATATACATGGCGCCCGATCCCTAACGATCTAACGGGTGAACAAATCGAATATATGTATGTATATCCCTCTGCTCTCTATCCCTAAGAATCTCACGGGTGAAAAACAGAGGAAACATGCCCAAGTGCACCTTGCGCGAAGCGCCCGCACGGCTGGTATCTTTGTACTGTGATACATCAATAGAGAAATAGATGAATACTCCATGGAGGGATTCGTGGGAGGCATTCCGAGTACTTCCAACGACTCCTAGTGGATGAGTAAAAGCACAGGGGAGATTTATCTCGGGAAAAAGAACGCGGAGGAGCTGTATTTCTTGAATGATTTTCGTGATCGAACCTGCATCCGACGCTCCTGCGAATACGAGCTGTGCCTGTTGCACGCGTATCTCTCCTAGAGAAACCCTCTATGGAAGTGCCCAACGGGCTCCGTGCATGTCTGACAGGGCAGCCCTTCGGAGACGACGCGACGCTAAGTTTGGGAAACGATGGATATCACGGGTCTGGCGGGTAGTCGGTAATCTCGACGAGTCAAAGACATCAGGCTGGAGGGAAGAATAGACGCGTGGCATGATTGATTTATCATTTCCGCACAATGGTGTCGAGTCCGTACTTGTTCGGCTGGCACAAGAACCTCGTTGCTCCGGAAAGTCCTTCTCGGGCCGCATGCAGGGGCTCTCGCGTACTATTTGAGAATCGCCGAGTGACAAGCGGCTCCGAGAAGGCTCGAACCGAGGTTGGGATCGGTGTGAGTACTCTCAAGAAGCAAATGCGGACTGGAGATTTTCTTGGGGAGAGACTCATGCGATCGATTCTGGGGGCATTGCAGTTGCCTCGCGAGCCCCGTCATCCCGGTGGCCACCGTGACCTCCCCTCAGCGGGCTCTCTGCCTGGAACTCGGCATTGACTCATCTGATTCTCCAGCGTGAGGCTGAAGAAGACGATTGAGCCGGAAGCAGAGCTTCAGTTCGAAATCTTTCCGCTCCACTCCACGTGAATTCCGACCCAAGTCAGCGGCCCTCCGGTTCAATGCCCGACTGGATTTTGCGTACGACTACGCTCTTGCAGGACCCCCGTCACTTCATTTCCCCGATCGGACTCCGGAAACGATTCGGATGCTTCGTCTAAGCAAATCCCACGCAAGGAGTAAGTGTCGAGCGTGAAAAATGTTCTTACGCAGCCCTGCTGTATTGTGACGGTCGATCAGCGGAGAGGCTCCGGAGGACTTCGAAGAAGAAACTCTGACAATTACTTGTTACGATTGGAGGTTCGAGTACCCAAAGCATTCACACCCAAATTAGATTCTCGGGGAGCGGCTTTCGGGCTTAGAATATCGAGAAGCCCACATGAGACGAAATAAATCTGGACTCCGCTCGCAGGTACCTCGACCATTGTTCAGCGAGGCAAGAAAGGCCGATTATTCGATAAACAACGGATAAAGTATTTTATTTATAATTCGCTGCTCATGGTTATTTATCTCAAACGACCGCTTAAATATGTACCTATGTTGGTTTGTGCTAAAGAGCTATCGCTCGAGAAGTTCTCCAACAGTCTGAACGGCGCTTCCCGCGTTCCACGTTGTGAGAGGAACGACGGATCCCCAAATCGTCTCATTACACCGAGCCCATCACAGAACACGAAAATAAATTTCTTCCAAGATCAACCCCTATATATGTATATGTATATCACCGTAGAGGGACAACAATAATCCTGCGTTTCAAGCTTCCGCAATGCTTGTGATGCTTCGTCTGTACATTTGGTATCCGATCGCCACAGATAAAACAAGAACGGCGCCGGCCAAGCCCCTCGATTTCCAATCCACGCGCTTGAGTCGTAAGAGCGTCATTCCGAGGAAGGATCTTCTCCACCTTCGGTACTCCTCGTCTTGGCGACGTTTTTCAGCTTCGATTTGTTCGAGGCGCTCCACCGGATACAAAGCGTGGAGTTTCTTCGCGTGGAAGATACAATCTTCTAGCTCCGAGGGGTGATTATCCAAGTCAATGAGTACGTCTCTCAGGTACGAGTGCACGGAAGGGAGAGAACATTCCTGCAATTGGAGACTCTTGCTGCGCGACAATACCACCGCCGCCGCGACATACACCGGCAACAGGTATTGGTTCTCATCGTTTGCAAGGAACAGGTCGTAGAGACGAACGAGATTCGAGTAGTTCTCGAGGTCGTGTCCGAACCACGTCAGGCACCACGATAGGCAGAATATGACCCGGCACTCGGCCCTCTCCAGGAATTTCCTCAGCTTCGGATCCTCCGCTTGGAAGATCGCATAAATGTAATTAAGCTGGCATTCCGTCGGTTTCATTGTTTCTTCCATGAATACCCGGAGTCGCGTTCTGGATATCTCATTCATTATTTGGAAAGCGAGGTCTTCGTCTCCGTCGACAACCAGCAACACCGTCACGCAGATGTCGTGGTATCCCTGATAGTAGTGGAGGTCCGGATTCGCGACCAGGACACGCATTATCACGTTGACCAGCTTGTCCTGCAGGTTCATCCTCTTTTCCGATGCGATGGAAGGTGGGAAGCGTCTGATCGAGCGTGCTACATCCATCAGCACCTGAAATTCCGGGAGAGCGGAGATCTTAGACTGGATGAAGCTTGTTTTCGATGACGATCTAGGCGACGAATTTCTGGTGCGATATGTAGATCACGCTTCAAGCGATATCTGATGTGACAATATCGCCGCTTTGATCCAACCCTGCCTGTATTCTGCGAAATTCAGGGATCTCAATGCGAAGTGTCTTCCGCTGACGTCAAGATCTCATTCTGTCAGTGACTAATCTCTGAGTCTCAGAGCCGTCGACATGCGTCCTGGATCGTAGTGGCGACGAATCCGTTTTTTCAGCTTTTTTCTCGGAAACGTTCAGGTTAAAAGAGAAAAGTGTCATGGCTTACCCTCATTGATTTTCGATTTTACATCCGACAAACGATGTCTCCCCACTCCTAGAAGCTGTGGTTTTCGAAACACGCTACCGATTCCCATAATTCCCAACGGGAATCGATAGATCTCGTCATTCTGAACGAAAAAGGTCATGGGGTATTTACCCCATGACCTTTTTAATCATGGAGCGGGCTCGGAGACATATCAAATCCGACAAAACAAACTCGATTCCCTCCCGAATCCATTGATCCATTGATTGATATGGCTCAGAAATTTCTCTTCCGATATCTCGGGAAGTACCGGTTTTGAGGGAAAGTACCCCATGACCCTTTTTATTCAGAATGACGAGATCTATCGATTTTAGGTATTTCCGGTTGGGGTTCCCATTGAAAATAATGAGAATCGATAGCGTATCTCGAAAACCACAGCTTCCAGGAGTGGGGAGACATTGTTCTCGGATGTAAAATAGGAAATCCATGGGGTAAGCCATGACACTTTTTTCTCTAAACACAACCGTTTTCGAGGAAAAGCTGAAAAACCAGATTTG